CGGGTACTCAGTGGTGTGCTGTTGTCCTGATGGATATCCTAAGAGCATTATAGCACAGGTTATCCTTGGACATGTGGATGTTTTTCAAAGATTAGTGCTTGCCCTAAATATATCATTAATTTCCGAAGTAAATATTAGCATCCTTTACTGACACCACAGTTCATATAAGTGCTATGGCATTCGGGTGGAAGCAAAACCACAGCCTGTAGAAATTGGCTCTCTCATTCCATCATATGGTTCTCGGGGCTTGAATGCATGTCATCTTACCAGTCCATAAATCTATTTCTTTCAGTGTGAAATATAACCTAGCTAAATGCAAGTGTCCTGATTTCAGACCCACAGTGTGCAAATTCCCTCATATACGTGCATCCAACAAGAAAGCAATTTAGCAACCCACTATTCTCTTCTGTATGCTTCCTTCTAGCATGCGTTGCACTCTTACTCTTTGTTAAATAGAAGTGAAATCACACAAAGCATATCCTTCCTTGAGCAGTAATTATTTGTATCTGGATTATGTAAACATTGAATTTGTGGAATCATTTTTCTATGTGGTTGTATATTGGTGATTCTCATTTTAAGCACTTATATTATGATATTCTATACAAATCTGAGTCAACTGTATTAAATTCTCAGTCAGAATAAAATATGGAAGTACAGTGATTCATCTCTCATATATTATATAATGCACAAACTAAAGGCTAAACTAATTTTCATAATTATTGTGCTTTTACTGAGTTAAAGCTTTGAAATTGTGCCTAGACAGTTAACTTAGAACAGGCTTCCCACTTTTCAGGAGATTTTCTTCTAAGCAGGTTCACACTTGGATGCTATTTTCCCTACTTACATTGCAGAATTGTTAAGGAGAAGAAAAGTTATTATGGATCATAAAATACTTCTACACTCAAAACACATTTCACTACGTTTTCAAATGAGGGAGTAGACTCACAGGGAATGTAAGTTCTTCCTGCAAAGACATCCATTTAGTTAATGGTGAAAATAACACAAATTCCTGAGTCATTTTCTCCCAGCCACAGTCAACTTCACCTGTGCTCATGTTTTACATAAAAGTTTTGTAATATAAGAAATCAAATTCAATAGATTTAAACTAAATTCACTAAAGAAAAACACATTTTTTTCTTCTCCTCTTTCATTCATAGTATTCTTTCATAGAAATAGGCACAATGCCAACAGTGTTTTTAATGACTGAATTAAAATCCAATGACTTTGGGTTGATAAATATGTTGGGATAAATAAGTCCACTGAAAGATGACCATTGGTGGGGCTAGAGAGGTGGTTCAATGGTTAAGAACAAATTGCTCTTGCACTTGTAAGTTATCCGAGATGGTTGTTCCCAGCATCTATTGTTCAGTTCCGCAACTGACAGTAGCTTTAGCTCTGGGGCAATTATTGCTCTTTTCTGGCCTGATTGAGCACATACGCACTCACACATATTTCCACACATAGAAACACATACACATATATGAAAAACGACATAAAAATCTTCAAAAGAAAAATTTAAAGGGTAGCAAACTTTAAACTCCTTATGTTTGTGAAGATATGTTGGTTTCATAGCATGGGAAATTAACATAGCTTGGTGTCCCAGCTGTGCCACTGGGGAGAGCATTTTGGAATATTCTAGTGGATCCAGTGTAGATGTGGTGGACTTTTAAACATAAGCAAATGTAGAGAGGATATCAGAACTAGTCTGAAGTCATTTGGATAATATTTTGGCAACTTTTAGAAGAGAAGAAAAGATGATTTTGTTTCTGATTTGTTTTGTTTTGTTCGTAAGTTCCCAGATAACAATCAATCTCAGCTGGTACCATGGTTGTAACTCAGTGAGACCAGCCATGAATTTCTGAATACTGTACAAAAAGATGGTCACTCTATATTTTCAAAATGATTTTTTCCATTACTACATCAAAAATAGGAATCTTGTTCAAAAACTGATAGTAAATGATTATCAAGACCTTATTATCTGAGATCCAAGAAAGTGGAAGCCTAAAAGGAGAAAGAAGTCTCCTTCTTTCTCTGAATCTGATGACAGTTTTACATTCCTCCTCAAACTAGTGGCAGAAGAATGTTTAGCAAATTCCTTGCTTTAATTCTTGAGGAGACATTTTATAAAATGAATGCAAATCTACTTTTCTTTTAGCCAGGAAAAATATTTGCATCGTGTTAAAGTCAAATGCAGATAGGGGCAAACTGAAGCTTATGCTTCCCTGCCTTAACAAATTGTGGTTCTGTTTAGTAAGGATGCAAGGGTAAGTTGATAGGGGAAGGAGAAAAGATCCTTCTGCCTTTGAAACTCCCAGGGGATAATGTATTTTTCTTCAGGACCCCTTCTTCACAATAAATCCCACAGAGTATTAAAAATAGCACCCCTACTTAGGTTTAATTATAATTGTTTTCTTCGTGTTCCCATAAGAAACACTTCAGAATGTGAAAATCTGGCACATATGGAAATAGGAAATTCATAGGGCTTCTGGATACCCTGGTTCACAGTAATGTAAGGAGCCTGTTTCATTTGCAATGCCAAAATTGCTCCAACAAATCTGGAGTTTTGTCACTGAGTGAGAAATTATAGTTAAATATCCAGAGCTGGGGCTCACTATGAGACACAGAAATGGAAAGGGACTAGGAGGAGTGGATGGTATTCTTATAATTTTTAAGCACAATAAATTCATAGGATAGAAAAAAATAAGACTTGGAATTTGTGGAATAGGCTCTCTTATGGGCCAGCTAAAATTTCCAGAATGGCTTACTACAATAGTCTAATCGCAGCAAGCACATAACTGAAGTGAATGTGGATATTAATACTAGGTAGAGAAGCAGACAGAGGGGCTGTGTATCTTCCTGTGTACCCTCCCTGATTGGCACCTCCTGGGCATGTTGTTTCTCAGTTGAGAACAGCCTGTCTTCTGTCTACTTTGACCTTTGCAAAAGGTAGCTGTCATACCAGACTCCAATAATCCATGAATGGAAGTAATGGGGGGAGAGAGACATAAAAGTACTTGATGGAAATAATAAAAAGCATATTAAAAATTATATTGTTTATTTTCTTTTTTCTCTTATATGGAGAAAGAATTGTCTTCAACAATAGAGGGAAGTTAAGCAACAGTAGTTCTTGATGGGAAGATACTGTGTATCAGTACTCTTGCTTGGTATGTTAATATTTAATATTTGGGAAAATCATCTCAATATGCATGATTATCTCATTTTCCAAATAAGGATTCAGGCTCAGAAGAATTTTCCTCTCTCAGTTGTTACATTGCTGCATTATATTATTTAACATAGAACCAAAGAATACCAAACCTCGAATCATAAGCCACTACTGCAGGTTACAATTTTCAGATGTCTTATGGTTTCATTATCACTTTCTATTCACTCTTATTTTTTTCTAGACTCTGATTATTCTATGCACTTTCTTCTACTCTTTATGTACTTGTGTGATATGTTTAAATATTTTCAAAGATATCTAGAATCCCAGTTAGCTTTGAGAGCAAGGTTTAGCTCTAAGTATTTGCCTGCATTAGCTGACCAGTACGAAATGAATCTTATTCATGTGTCAGATTTCAAAGCCTTAAGCTGTAGCTACTCTCCTAGTTCACTCTCTGTTTTCATCACTGAATGTTTACAAAGAATGAAGGCTTATTTGTCTTATTATTCTAAAAGCTTGGTGTTCTGCCTTTGATGGATTGAATCTGCTGAGGCTTTCTTGCTCATGAGGAATATTTGCAGAATCCCAAGGCAGTATATAGCACCCAACCTCTTATAGGTAAGTTTCAAGACTGAGGGCTCCACATTCCTGAGATCATCGGATCCTGGTTACCATACAATGCCTCTGCACAGGAATCAATTACATATGACTTTAAGGATAATTTTCTTTCAACATAAATTTTAGGGTGACACACATCCAGTCAACAGATGATGCATTTCTTTCATTGTCCTCATAAATCCAGGAGCCTTGCTTCAGTATGTTATCAAATATATTGGCTAGAAGCACTAGACAACAATCAAAATCTGCTTTGTGTTGTTTATCAATTTGACCATAGCTGGTATCTACAATCCCTCTCTGCCTTGGTTTCCTAAAGCATTAAATGGAGTTGCTACAATACCTGCAGAAGAAAGTTTTTAATAGTAGGGCCAGAGGAACTGATCACTGGTGAAGAGCATCCGTTTCGCTTCCAGAAGGCCCAAATTTGATTTTCAGTACCTACACAGTAACTCACAGTCATGAGCTCTTATTTCCACAGAATCTCATGCTTTTTACTGAACTCCTACATACATGTGGTGCACAGACATACAGAAAAAAATACCCATGCACCAAAAAAGAGGAAGTGGTTTTGTATATTAAATTAGCACAGAAATATGATGTGGCTAGAGGTAAGCAGAAGTGAAGCATCTAGAGAAACTGGACATCATCAAATAAGCATGTAATTTTATATAATATAGAATGAGCAGAATTACGTCTAAAAAAATACAAGTAAATTTGAGTAATTTAGATTGCAAGCACCAACCTGCTACTCTACTACTCTCAGTAGATTGAGGTTGATCACGTAATCTCTCACATAGTATGTTTCAGTCATCTACAACTGCAGCGTAGGCAGGAATTCACAAGCCCATGTTCACATGCTGCTACTACTCAACTGACACCTTTATTCCAAGTTTCATCCCCTGAATCACTGTATTCCTCATGGTGTAAGGTAACAACGCAGAATCTCACATTTTCCTATATGAGAACCTTCGTATAACTATTGTCTTGATTTTTCTATGTGTGACCATTAATTGTAGGAAAATATCTTTTCAGGTAAATCACAGTTTGTGTCTTAATGGCAGGTCCTTTGGATTCATTTCACAGGTTGTTTCTTAAGCCTTAATATTGGATCAGGACTACTGTGGTTTTGTTCCACGGCGCCCTGTATAGAAGAGCATGATTTAGTCTGTTATTGCAGCCTATGCCAACACTCATTCCTTGAATTAAATGAACTTTAACACTTCCCAACGCACGGTTTTTATTTTTTTCACCAATATCCAATATTTTTATTGAGAATACAGTGATAAAGAGATTATTTGAAATGTTATGAATCTGAAAATCTGGATCAAGAATTGTCTTATTAATAAATCTTAGTGGTATCAGTCTGCTTTTCTTATGATGGTTAAGTCCAGGTTTTCAAAATAACTCCATTTCTTCTAATTCTATTAGGTGCCATTCTCTAACAAAGAAAGTCTGTTTCATCATCTGCATATTCATTCATGATTTATATAACTATGGGTTCGTTTACTTGAATCCCGAAATTGGTTTTAGAGTTGGCAGGATGTTATTACATGCTTCTTTCCTGAATCCCTTGAACTCTGCAAAAATTATGACCCTCACCCCTTTCTTCCAAGACACAAAAAGAAAAGATTGGCAGAGTCCAAATTTTGGAATGACTCATATCTGAAAATGAATTTAATTTCTAGCCTCTTTTCTTTGGATGACCTTATGCTATTTATGTATACTATACAAATGTGTGAGTGAAGATTCAAATGAGGTTAAAAATGGTTAAAAAGTAGATTTTGCCCTGTATACATTAGGTATTATTATTGAGAAATTTGAATATAAGATTTCACTACCATTCCATCTTGCAATTATTTGATTTCACTGGGAATGAGGATGTGAAGCAAGCCTGCCATTGCAGATTAAATAAATCAACAAAATTTTGGCAATTTTGACAGCATTTTCTTCTTTCCTAGAAGACAATTGTTTTAGCTCCCTAAAGGGCTTTTAAGTAAAGCTGCTAAGATGGTGATGGTTTATCAGTATGCTTCAGAAGAGTTTGGGAAAGTAAAATCCTTATTTTAAAATATCCAGTCCCACAACAGCAATCAGAATTCAGGCTTATTTCACTCCTACTTAGAATTTAAAATTCCAGTCAAGATCTAAGCAAAATGGGAATCAATTTGGCTATGATGACTTTCTGGTGTCTGCAGGAAACAAATCTGCCAGCCTCCTCTACTGTCACCTCAGCTTCAAGCTGAAGAACTCAGTGTGATTATTTTGTAATTTCAACACTTGAAACCATAGTGTGGACATTGAAGTTTTTCATTAGGTATGGAAGCAGGAGATCTCTCATACAACAATCAATACCACAGAATGGTATTCAAAAAAGAAAGAGAGCCAGGATTATTTAGCTACCATCATGAAAGTAGAATCCTAAAGCCTCCAAGTTGAGGTGGTCTATAACAGTGAGACATAGCTAAAATGATTACCATGATATCTAGGAAACCAGGACCCAGGTTCAAGCTTTGATCCTGAGAGACAAACTTTAACCCGTGGTCACTTATTTAAACTATCCTTAGTACCAGAATTATACTCTTTAGCAAATTCCTTATGAATTTTCTAGTAGTGAGACATGTCTCTCTAGATAGCATATTGTAAAAGTTTAAGTCCATGGTCACGAAGACTCAGGGACAAAATATTTTGGTGGTCAATTAACAGTGTCTACCACTGTCATAAATGGAGTCATGGCATCCCATTTCATAGGATGTTTCATAAATGATTGAGCTCCAGAATGCGCTTGTTTTCTAGATTTAATATTCTAGAATACATCATTAACTCTTTCTTAAATCAAATATTTTGCTATGTATTTAAAATGAAATCTTAGTCAGAGAAAATAAAACATTTCTATATCATAATTTACCATGTCAGAATATGAATTATGCACAAGCAAGGAATATATCATTTCTGTGCAACATTTTAGTCATAGATAATATCAAATTATTAGCACTTAATAGATATTAAATAAGGAAAATGTGAGGCCACTAAATTACTCCACACCCTTTCCAAAAGATTTATAGGCTATATCCCATTTCACATTGGCATTTTTAACAGGAGCAGAAATCAGAGTACTTTGTAAAACTGATTACATTTAATATAATCAGCAGCAGCAGCTAGACACACCCTACAACCTTAAAATGTGTTTATTTAATCAAATTGATGGTTCTGGAATGTTCACACAAGTTAGATGACAGATAAAACAATAAAGGGGAATGTGAAATTAATCTAATGTTGTACTGATTTTCTTTGATCCATTATCTGTATTTCTTGTCCATTGTGTTTTTTAAAGAACTGAGAGGTCCATCCATTTGTTTATCACCCCGACATCTTCACAGGGCATATTTTCTATCACCAGGTCCCCGCTCCCTTTAGTGATCTCACCACAGCTCAGGGTCACAGAGTTGGCACACAGTAGATAAGCTTACAAAGGTAAAGAGAAAGACCTTGCAATCATGTCAGGCTGGCAAATGCCTGGTTCAAAAGAACAAAGGAGGTGCTATCCAACTATATCTGACCTTGCTCACCCTTAGGGAAAAAAGTTCCTGGTTGTTGGCTTCTATTATTAAGACCAAAAAAATGAGTGCCAGCCATTTACTAAGGACTTATGATGTACAAGATCCTTTACATTTTTATTCTAATCTTCACGCCAGTCCTTTCTGACATATCTTCAAACTACAATCGTACATTCCCAAATGTCTATGCTATATTTAAAAATGTGCTCACTTCTCTATACACATGGACGTCTATTACAAGGCATTAGTTTTACATTAGTAACTATCAGGGTCCTGTAGATGGCCACATTACGACCACCTTCTGCCACTCACATTATAACCTGCAGGAGTCTGATATGATCATAGTCTGAGCATGTCTGACTTTAACATCAAGGAACGTTATTTTTTCCTCTGAGTGTCTTTGACATATGGGGTGCTTATGGGATTCTCCCTGGTCTTCATATGTTTCTGTTTGAAAACTTTGTAAAGAACATTGTTTTGGAGTCAAATAGGTCACCACTTTCATCTATGTGACCTTGGCAAAATTATATAAACCTCTCTTATTTCTTCATCCACAAAAAGGTATTTAGCTATTGGGAAATGGTGAAGAAAAAAATAATGTATAAAAATTAAGTGCAGCACATGCTTGCTGTTTTATTTACACTGAGTTAGCAATCAATAGATAGTATATTTTAAAGTTGTCCTAATTTTATTCAACATAACACAATATGTATGTTACACAGAAGGAAACAGATTATGGATCGCTCTCCCAAAAGATGTCAGTGCTTATTTACACATATTTATAAGTGTTTAGAAAAGATTAACATTTCAATTACTTTAACATTAAAACTAAAGAATGAAATAGCAAAGCCTGAGGAATGGACCTTTGACCTTCATCCGTTCATATTCAATTGTCCTAATGAAGATCTGAAGATCTGTGTTCTCATTCTGATGTTTATTGGCTTATCTAACATCTGCACTCTTAAAAATAACCTTACTGTCTTTCATTAATTATGATGCAAGTTTATCACATGCTTAAATAGATTCAGCAGTGAAAACTCATAAAATATTCATTAAGAAATATACAAGTACTGAAAGTATTAAAATGTTGGCATAGAACATTAAAATGTATTTGTTGGTGTTCTGCAGCTAACATGGTAGCAATACATTGCAGCGTTCCATACTGAGAAAATCCCCAGGCAATTATTTCATTGTTAGAGATCACTTCAACTAATATTTGACATTTTTCAAACTCTTCATGATCCCATTATGATGTGTAGCCTTTGAAAGTTTCAGAGCCCTAGCTCCACCCTCATTAGCAGATGCTGTAACTGCTTCAGTTCCAAAACACGATTTCACTGATTTGGAAAATGTTCTGCAATAACACTCATTGAAAGCATTTACAACAATATTTCTCATTATGTTTTGATGAAATATTGGCTCACGAAAACAAATTCAACCAAGTGGAGAGGTTCTTGAAAATGAATTCATAAATTTCAGGAGTGGTTCAGAAGAATGCATTTTTGAGGATCTTTGCAATGAGCCATATAATACTGGGATATTTTCTTTCTATAGTTTCTATTCATTCTGTGCATTGGTTAAAAAAAAAGAATCAAAACTATTCAATAGCAAAAATAATATGTTCAACTGTTAATTTCAAAGTGTGCCCTACAACTATTGATTTAAAACTCTCTGTTCATTTGTATTAAACTGGTTTAAGAAAAAATGGAGTAAATGTTGGCTAATATATCTAAAACTCCATCATTAGTTTCTTTTGCAACACAGATAACAGGAATTTAAGTTACAGTTTCAAGATATATGGGCTACTTTTATGTGCATTAAAAATCAAATACAGAGAAGTTCATGAATAGACGTGAATTAAAAAGCAGTTATTTTACACTAATTTTTAATATAGTTAGATGTATTTTTGGTGATCATCATAAAATACCTCCATTATTCCTCTCATTGGTGAAATTTTCCATGAGACAATGTGAAAAATATTTTCATAACCTGGATTCTTTCCAGAGTATGCCCAAAGTGTGTCAAAAATTTTTTTATAAGGTTTCTAGTCTAAACACTTTCATGTAACTGGATATGAATTATTCAGTAAGTATTAAGTACAGAGAAAATATTTTGGTGAGTTTAGTTTTATTAATGATCCTTGGACCATGTGAATGCATCCAGGTCAGTCACTAAAGTTGTGTGGTTATGATACTGTGGTTGACTAAAACAGTCACATGTGATAGAATAAGTTACTCTCAGATGTTATGATGGGGAATGGGAGATGGTCAGAGACCCTGAAGCTATTCACTATCATTAAAATCATAGATCTTTTTATTGTAATAAGTTTCAGTTCTTACACAGTCATTGAAACTTGATGTAAAGAACATTGGACATACATGAAAATGTGACTCTTAATATGATATCTAAAACAGCTGCTTAATCCCTTAAAGTTATTTTTCTTCTCAACAATTTAGGTGATCCAATGCTAATTACTATCATCTTCAGCATTTCACTTGCTATTGGATGGCCAGGGTGCTCATAAAGACCATCAACAGATTAGGTGAAAACAGAATAACTTAAGAGTTTTGTTCATACTCACTGGTGCAAAAATGGTGCAAAAATACTAAAACACTGCTTTCCATAAACATCCTTCCATATGATGAACCATATAATGAATACATGAATATTTGCTTTGATTTCTTAGAACAAGACCTGATCCTGATGCATTGCCGAAGAGTGTAAAAGATATGATTAGATAATAAGATAGAAATTTAAATGGATATGTATAGGTCTTGCTTCCTATAGTATTGTCAAAGTAAGGAGAACTCTTTTCTATACATTTCAGGGATAAGCTCTAAGATGGACTTCTGTAAAACCATATTTGCAATGAAGACATGGATTCAAATCTTAGCTTAAACTTGGGCAAATAAGCAACAGTAAGCATCAGTATTTGACACCAGATAAAGTTTATTATTAGAAGAGTAGAATTCTGGTGTGTAACAAGTGTACATAGATAGTATATAAATAGATACATAGAGTGTGTACATAATGCATAGAGTATATACATAAGTACATAGACATAGAAATGATATATAGACATATAAATATTGATATCTTTATGTATCAAGCTGTAGGGAATTAGCTTTTCTAATTGCCATGAAATAGCCTCCAAATTGTATGTCTATTCGCTATCTCAAACGTTTCTGTAAATTTCCCATATAAGAACAAACAACATTGAACTTCTTTTACAAGGAAATGCATATGTGTGCATGCCTGCCTGCAAACACACACACTCTCACAGAGAGAGAGAGAGAGGGAGAGAGAGAGAGAGAGACAGAGACAGAGACAGAGACAGAGACAGAGACAGAGAGACAGAGAGAATCTGAAACTCTGAAACTCTGCTCATTGAATGATCTTGTCTTTTCATTGGGAACTTTTCCTAAACTCTGATAAAGTTTGGAGATGGAGAGGGTATGGCATATTGTTGCTAGAAGAAGTTTTCTAATCTTTAATATGTGAATTTTGTCTTTCCTGTCTCCAGAAGGCACATACACTTTAAAAAGAGTCCAAGAAGGTTTTTATTATCTTCCATTTACATGTAGTCCCTGTGTACAGAAATACTTTCACTCTATGACATCAGTTGCTTCAGAAATATAGCATCAATTCATAATAGATTTTTCCAACTTACTATAGTCAATGTATCCTTGTGAGTGCAAATATTATATGTGCTATATCATGGATAAAATCAGTCTTCTAGATGAGCAGAGTGGGACATACAAGAAGGGATGATTCAGTATTTTAATCACTCCTTTTATTGACACAATGCAGACATCGATATCTTCAGAGTACTTGTGGCCATGGCTCACTGGGTTTCATCTGTACCAAAGCACTTATTTTCTTTCTTCATGCTCAGTTTAGTTCTTAGTTCAGCTAGACTCTTTTCCCCTAGCAATAGACATTGATGAGTTTGCCTACAGATTCTTAGTCACAGAATGCTTTCTCTCAAAGACATTCTAAGAAACCAGAATAAAAAGAAATAATCATATCATTATCATTTGGTATCATTTTTCTCTAAACTATAAGTGGAATCTGCCAGTGATCACACTTTTGTAGCTATGTTTAGTCATGAGGTGAGAACACCACCCTCAAGTCAATGTCACAACACAGATAACCTCTCTCTCTCTCTCTCTCTCTCTCTCTCTCTCTCTCTCTCTCTCTCCTTCTCTCTCTCTCAGCTGTTGTTTAATTTAGTTTTAACTAAAGGCCTTTTTCTATTTCTATACAATAAATGGAAAGATAATATTTTCTAGCTTACCATAGCCAATATTTTGGAAATATCAATATGTTGTTGTTGTTGTTCATCAACTCAGAAAATTTTAATACTTTTTTCAATAAATTTTTCATTGACCATATTTTCTTGACTGAGAAGATCTTTGAAATATAATTTTTATTTTTCATCTGTGGTAAGAGATGCCATTGAGTACCAACTGTATATCCTTCAATATCCTCTTTTTATCATAGTCTAGCATGACTGATGAAAATTTTTTTTAAACTGGATTTATTTAGTAATTTGTCTGCATTATGCATGTGCACTGTGTATATGCTTAGATCTTGGGTCATCTGCAAGAACAAAAATACCTCTTCTGTTATTTATTTCTTTATTTATTTCTTTGTTTACTTATTTGTTTACTTATTTATTGATTGATTCACTTTACAGCCAGATCACATGCCCCCCACTTCCTCTTGGTCTCTCCCACAAACAACTCCTCCTCCCATTTCCCCTTCCTTCTCCTCTGAGAAGAGGGAGGCTCTCCCTGGGTGGTGTTCTACACTCACACATCAAGTCTCTGCAGAACTAGGCACAAACTTTCCCACTGAGGACCACACAAAGCAGATCAGCAGGCGAACCGATTCTACAGACAGGCA